CAGTGTTTCTTAAAAATGTATTTTAGGTAAAGCCAGCAAGTCACTACGGTAAAGAAATCTAGATCTCATGTGGTGTCCAATCACAATTTCTTGCTTGGTATATATGCAGTATTTATCAGTGGGGACACCTGCCCTGTGTATAGGGATGAGAACTCCTATGGCATATAAAAAGACTTTTCCCTTCTAACAATTTTTAATAAACCAATTTACAAAACATGCAGTACGTATCTTAAGCTCTTTCTACACATCAGAGGAAAGCACACCCATAAATGCTAATGGAACCAATGAAGTCTGACCCTTCACTTTGCAAGAACTAATTGTGTTCATTTGTTTTACAGTGTGCATGTACAGAGAGCCATCACTGCATGAAATTGGAGAGAAGCAAGGACGGTCAAGAAAAAGTTCAGGGACACCAACCATGAATGGTGGAAAAGTTGTTAATCAAGAGTCAACATAGCCAAGATCCTGCCCTGTCCTGACAGTGAACCCGTTGGAAAGTCAGAAATTAAACATATAAACTGACATGACAGGTTCCACTGACTATGTTTTTGAACTCAAGTTTTCTCCTTTGGATAGAACAAAGAAATGGAAATTAAATTGCCTGTGCAATGTTTTAAACCAACCAGAAAAATATGAAGATAATACTTTGAATCTGGACTCCATTCATATTTTATGCAAAGTTTGCTGTGTGATCAAATTAGTTCCAATCTCTGCATAAAAAAATATACAATAAAGATATTACCTTTAAAATGAAAAAGTTCTGGAGAAATGAATCTGAACAAATAAATCAGTGAAGGCCACTAGGTAGAAAACCTCACATTTATTCCTCTGTTTTAGATTTGTGTCTATCTATGAAGCACATCTGCTTTGTCTGTACAAATGCCATCATATGTAGAAAGCGCAGGCATACAATTATTTAATGCATTCACAAATAAAGACAGTCTGTAGAGTTCACAGACATGATAGAGAAATGCCACCCTTTACAAATCAAAGAATCTACTGTGATTTTGGAGCAAGTATATAATTTAAAACAATAGTTATAAAAACTGCTTAAAGTAAAACGGTCAGATACAAAAAAGTCCCCAACCTGTCCCTGGAAACCTCTCTACCATTACCACAGCTTTTCTGCCACTCAGAGCACCACTGCCACTGTATACATTGTTTGGGTGCTGATTTTATATGGTGAAGCATTTGGCATGTTACCTATTTGCCTCGTTTTGGTTGGGTAACAGCTCATATTGCTATTTATTAACCTTAAAAAATGTATAAGGTATGTCAGTTTTCATCTAAAACACCAGTGCAGGTAAAACCTAATATTGCAGTATGACTGTTCAGGTGATCTGTACGCATATATCCACTACGCAAATGTTAGCATCAAGTACAAGAGCATTTTTTTCTTGCTTGAAGTGAACCTGTAATTAGAAACCTACCACTGCCTTGTTATAATTTTGCTTTATGATAGAAGGTCTTAAACTAAGGGCCTCAAACGTGTGCACATTTCAAAGTTTGGCACATCTTCCTCATATCCCATAAGCTGGGTACATATGGTTAGAATTCTGTTTTAAAGAAATGGTCATTTTCTTCAAATTTATTCAGTTTTCTAATAGTTAATGGGGTTAAATTCACGGATATGTTCAATTGTAGTGATGAAGAAAATCGAAGGAGCAAGATGGAAATTTATTCTCAAATGAACAAAATTCTAACAGTGAATATGGTTTTCATTCAGGAAACTCCATCCTTTTTCAAAATCAAATGAATCAAACAAAATTTCAAGATACATTTGTTAAGTCCCTGATGCCATTATTATATGTTCTGATGAGATTTCTTCTGTGAACATTCAGATAAAATTCTTACTGTGTTTACCCACCTTTACTGCAAGTCAGACACTTCCCAGTAAGTCATTCCTTGACAATTGTGGAGGTTCATTGTGGAGCACTTACTTGAATTTAATGTGATTTACATACTAATTGTGTCCTAGGTTGTGTGCCAGTTTTTATGAAATTAAATAAGCCACTAACTACTCTCACCCAATTATCTGAGATAATACAGTATCCTCTAATGACAGGTTCCCTTTAACATGGTGGGCACAGGAATAGTGCTACTATACAGAGAGGCGGGGATGAGATTATATTCATGATTTTTTATAAATAACATAGAAAAAGCAATGATGTGTAGACACCCAAAACAACCAGAGATCAACTTTCAGTAGAAAGATTGGAGTTACTAAAATTTTGCTCTGTCTTTACTAAATAAGTACCCCTCTGTGTAAAAGAAGCAACTGTATTTTATATGTATAATTTAACCCCAGCCAAAATGTTTTTTTTAGATTTTGGAACATACGGGAAAGGGTTAGAAACTCAAAGAGGGTTTGTAATTTGATCTTATCTGTTTTATTACTTGAAAAAATGGAAGACCGTTTGATCTTCTTCTAGGTCAAAAGAACAATGTATTATTGCTTATAATATTGTGTCTGTGAATTCCATCCATCACCATTACCAAAACCTTGTGGGCAAGCTTATTGGGCATGTTTTGAATCACAAAGTGAATGCATGTAATGGTAATGACTATAAAATGCGAATGTGTGTCTTTATGTTGAGCTTCATATTCCATGAAAAAGTGTATATATATATATATATATACTTTTCATATATATATGTGTTAAAGGGCTGGTAGCAGACATTATTTTTAATAGTTATTACAAAGAGAAAAGAACACTAAGGACTTTATTTAAAAAAAGCAATGAGTACAGTGCAGTAAACATTAACAACCAATTACATATAATCTGTCACTTGTCTGCATATATTAAAATACCTCCCAATAACATATAGTGAGTGAAGGCATTCAAGCCTCTGCCTGGGCTTCCTAGAGTTTGATTACTTAGTTAAGCACTGCCCCTTTTGGCATCCAAGAAGTCAGTTCACAGGGATGCTTCAAACTGCCAAAATGTGATTGCTTGCTGTGGGTTACTGCACGTCATTGCCTTATCACACTTTTCCAATCTGGTGTGACTTCTTAACATTACTAAGCATGCTGAAGTTAGAGAATACAAATATTTTGTACATAGCTCTGGAATGCTGCTACGAAGGGCTTCCATTTTCAGATTAGCTTTTTATTTAGATACAAATCAAAATAGATATTATGATAGATATTTTTCTGTTACAAAATAAATGGAAATGAGTTGCAATATAAAATTAATATGTTTGAATGCCAATGATTATAGCTAGAGGAATGCATGAATACAGCTTGTTCTGTTTTGACTTGCATTTGCACATTTTATTTGCTAGATTGGGTTCAGTATAGAGTGAAGGGCAGGGAGAGAGATTTTGTAAGGGTTGAAGGGTAGGGCATTTTTTTTTATGTTTTGACCACATTTTAGCTTGTTAAATAAAAAAAACATTTACTGGATCTGTGGCAAATGACTATGTTGGTGCACTGCATTATTTAACATTTTAATTTGCTTTGTGATTTCTTTGCAGCAGTTCTCCACAATTCACTGTACGTAATGCGACTCCTGAGTCACACATAACAGATGTCAACCTGTTATAGGCACACTGTAAAAAGTTGTTGCGTTGGCTGACAGTTCTTGCAGTTAATATGCAGGGTTCTTCAGTTTTCCTCTCCTTATAATCTGTTCATTGCCTTTGGCTGAGGGTTTATACAAACTGTTCAAAGCATGCATTTCTATTATATTTAAACGGGTTTTTCAAGTCAATTAAATGAATATAAAATGCAGTAGAAGTGAAAGGCCACCCCTCCTCCTCTCTGACTCTCTGACTCTCCCAGACAGTTGTTTTAATACCTTTACAAGCTGGACAGAGCTGCTTGCCTTTTCTGGTGAGACTCAGCTCACCATGACATTTATTTCTTAGTATATGAGCAATACAATACAATACTTGAGTGCAATACAATACTTGACCAGAGGTCATTGAAGACTAGATGTCCAGAGGAAATTTAGCAGCATCAGCATGCATTGGTTAGCTTGGCAATAATGACTCATTTGCCTACCTAAATATTCTTTTACACTTTTTAGGCTTTTTATTTGGTACTCTCTTTTAATAAATAACTTTCTTATGTTGTATATTATAGGCTAACCAATAGACACAAATATAAAATAAATACATTTTTTATTATTTAACAATGACTGTATTGCACTGTGACAGTTACAGCCTACCAGCTTTAGCTATCACTGTACCTTGAACTGTATACACTACAGTATATATACACTATATACAATGATGGCTGAAGCTGGCAGGTATATAAACCCAGGTGTTCGCCATGACTTCCTGTTATGATGATCACATTTTTCTTGATGTATGCTGATGTAAGTTTTCTGATGATCACATGATGTGGATCTGTGCGGATGTAAACCAGCAACTATCAGTAGTTACTCACAAAAAACAAGGTCCGGACGTACACCGCAAACTCTATGACTAGGTCCAAACCGGAAGCTCACAACTTAAATTGCTGCATGAGCTCCTTTTGTTGGGTTTGTCGTGCGAGCAGCAGCCTATTGAATTGAACGGACTGATGCGTGACAATGGCAAAATGCATGCGAACATGCATGAGTGTGACATGAGTTCACGCATCGCCAAACTGTTAACATGGCCTAAAACACATAAAAGTCTCTGAAGTAACATTACCCTCAACGGTAAATTTACAGATTTGTTGCTATGAAGAAACAGATGCATTCCGATAAAGATGTATATAACCCTTCTTCTGCAACAAACTAAAACAGATCTACGTAGATAATATTTAACACTATTATGAGCATATTTGGCCCAATTCACTAAAAGGTGAAATTAATTTGCCCATCTTAGTTTGGCATGCTTTCACATGCTAATTTTTTTCTAACTAAACCTGATTTAACACAATGTTACCATTCTGATGATGTCAAACTAAGTATAATGATTTGGCACACAACATCAATATATACAAGTATGCACTGCCAATTTAACACCTGCCAAGTGCACATACACCATGCAGCTGATTTATCAATGATTTTTACTTGTCAAAGTTGGTATTTAAATGCAACATAATAGAAACAGCTCAGTTTATGCTGCTAAAATCGAAAAATTAAGAGATAGCAGGGCTTTTTTTTTGTATCAGAAAACACCACTCATGTTTTCTGTTACCACAAAAAAAGCCCCGTTGGCTCTTCATTTTTTTATTTCTTCAATTTTGGGGTGTGTTATCTCTTCAGTCTTACAAGCAATCCCTGAGGTATTACTATTATTATGCTGCTGAAAGCAGATTATATGGAGCTGCTGCCAACAAGATATAGCCAATTCTTGAAGGTTTAGAAGAGCCCGAGTAGTCAGGAGGCTGAATTCTTGGTAAGTTTTCCCTGTTTTGCATCACAAATTCTCTATTATATATGCATTATCATTATAATGCGCATGTATTCTTCAAAATATAAGTCATATTTACTTACTTTCTTGTAGGTGTTATATTTAAAATAGTACAAGCAAAATGTAGGTGTTCCAAATTTCATTCTGCTTCATTTGTTAGGTAATGCAGGATGCCCCTACTTAATATGGCTCCTGATAACTGTTTTTTCTAGCTTCATCAATCAAGTCAGCAACCACCATCCAGGAATACTCTCCTTGCTGTTATCACTTTACTTTGTGCCCTTTTTTTCATCGGAGCAAGCAAAAGTGTGTACAAAGTCCACTTGCAAAGTATAGTGGCAGTAGAATGTGACTGACTTTGCATCATCTAGGTCAGGGGTAGCCCAACCAGTGGTCCTCCAGCTGTGGTGAAACTACAAATCCCATGATGCATCTCTCTTCGGGAGTCATGTCTGTGGCTTTCAGAATGTTGCAATGCCTCATGGGATTTGTAGTTCCACCACAGCTGGAGGACCACTGGTTGGCTACCCCTGATCTGGGTGAATGTAAAAAATGTCATAAATTAAGTGAGGAAATTTTTACACACACAAACATTTGTAAGGGAATCAAGCCAATAGTAATTCTACACTTAAAGGTATAGGAGTACTGAAAATGTAACACTGATAGTGGTCGAGGGTGCTCACAGGATTATGACTATGCCAT